TACGTAAGCAGTACTAATCATTAGAAGATAATGCTCAATAGAAAGTAGTCGAGGAGAGAGGCTTGGGTGTAAATCAAGCGAACCAAGCCTATACCGTCCAGAATCAGGACACCCTAATAACAACACAATAGTTCCGGCCTGTTAGGAAATTGCCAGTACTGCAAGGCGAAATAAAATAGTTTTGACAACAGAAGGAAGGTAGGCGCAAGAAGCTAAGTCATCTGGCCTATCGCGGAGACCAGCTAGAAGCACAGGAAGATGATAGTCCATCTGGCCGAGAGAGGTGGGCCTGAGAAGAGCTAGTCAAACAGGCCGTCTAATAGATCAATAATCAAGCATACACCAATGTCGTCTCGGCATTTGGATTGGTTAACTCATTGGTGAAACTATTGTTATAATAAATCAAAATAATCAAAAATACATTATTTTTATTTTAAATTGACATGAAAAAGATTTTTTTAAATAAAAAAATTTAATTATATTAATTAAATATTGTTTTCTTGCAAAGTAAAGATGATACCCCTTAACCTATATTGACTTTTCTCCAGACATTTGATTGGCTGAAATCCCCATGCCTATATCCTGTTCCGACTACCCGCTTGCTATTATACCTTCGCCTCGTCGGCAGCCCATCCTTCAGTCGCGGGAACTCCATTATTCTTATCCGTGCCATGATTCAAGTTTTCTTTTGGACTTAACAAATAATGAGGGCAACTCGTTATCTTTGGATAAGTAATCTTCCAACACACACAAGCGAAGAGGATACTAAAGCAGCATTGCAAAGGTAGTTGTCGCGTGAAATGTCGCCACATTCTATGGAATTACATATTGTTCAACGAATGGATACTAGAATTCTAATGACCTTATTACATGTTCTTTCTTTCTGTGTGGATACATATTCCGTCCGTTTATTTTGTATTTTAGCTTTGGAAAGATACAGAGCGTACGTATTCATGACAATGGATCTATCCGTGGTGCTATCGTCGCTTTTGTCGACACAAAGTCTGCTACTCGCGCCATTGAAAGCGCAGTGTACCTCAGAAAGGTGCAGCTTCGTCTTCAGTACTGTGAATCTTCTGGGGCTCCTGGTATAAACACTCGGGATTTGGCACTACAGTCTTCTGATATATTTAACTTGGACACCGAAAGGTATGCATATTGCTTAACTTCATCGTTACAATATAGCGTTATCCAAAGTGAAAGAAAACACACCGACAAGAGCCGATCCATTACTCTCAGCAGTGATCGGAGTGAATCCAAGGAACGCAGTAGTAAAACGATCCGCAACAAGTAGGACTTGTTTTCGAAGTGATTATTTTCTAGATTGGCAAGCAGTTCCTTAGAATCGCTTTCGCTAAAGGAGGATGTATCAAATAAATGTGATAAAAAAAATTCATTGAGTGTATTGACATCACAATCAAAAGAAACTGAAATGAGAGGACTTCGTATAAAACAACTACCATTTCGATCTACAGATACTAACTTGAGGGAGGGTCTCTTCCATGAATATAAGAAACATGGAAAAATAACTTCTGTTGCCATCCATGGCCAGGGCCAGAGTCGTCACGCTATTATTACCTTCAAGCGAGCTGAAGATGCAGCAAAAGCTTTAGAATCATCTCGTGGGAAGATATTCTTCCGTACCGCTATTAAAGTTGACAGGCATGAGGGGCTTGGTAGGTTTCCGTTTCTCTTAATGCTCTTTTAGACACAGAGGATCCTGATCTTTGTCCTCCTGAACACGCCATGGACGAATACCATCCCAAAGCCACCAAGACACTTTTCGTCGGAAATCTTTGTTCCAGTACTATTACCCAAGATGAATTGCGAAGAACTTTTCAAAAATATGGGGAAATTATAGTAAGGCTTATTTGTTTCTATTTATTTTTATTTTTAAGGAAATCGATATTAAGACCCAAACAAATCAGCCCGGTACCTCGTATGCATTTGTTCAATATTGTGACATAAAAAGTGTTGTTGCTGCATTAAATGATCAAGAATCAATTCATGTGTCTTCTAAGGCTGTAAAATTGGGGTTTGGCAAAAGCCAGCCTACCAACATTGTCTGGCTCGACAATCTGGCTCCAAGCGTCAATGAGGCTTTTCTTACACGCTACTTTAGCCGTTATGGTCGTTTGAAATACGTTGTTCTTGATCGAACTCTGTCTCAAGCATTACTTTGCTTTGATAACGTTGAAACTGCTCAGCGTGCTCTTAGTGAGACGAAGAATCGTTCAATACTCAGCAAAAAAGTGCAGATAGACTTTGCATCTAATGAATGTCAATCAGCTTTTATGAGACGTGTCGATAAGCAGGCTGATCTTTATGAACGGTAAGCTCATCTTAAATCTAACTTCAATTTAGGGATCCCCTTCAAAATATCTTCAACGCGCTTTTGCCGCCTGGATATAGCAGTGTGCTTCCACTTATTGAAGAGGGTAGAAGGTTAGCCATTACTTTAATTTAATCCATTTTTAGACATTTTGACGATGATGGACCAGAATATTCCCCTTCGGATAGTCCCCGTATTCATTATCGTCCATGTGAAGACAGGATTCCAAGTAGAGATCGGTTAAATTCTCGCCTATCAGTTGAGCCCCAAATCGCAATGGATGTGGTCGCGGATACTCTCGAGTCAGGCTTACTGAGGTATCGTCCTGTAACTGAAAGACTGGCTCACTCACTCTCGACTAGCAAACGGCGATCTCTTTATCAATCTTCGGGGTATCGCTATTTCGACGAATGCACAAGTGCTAACTCCACCAATGGAGCTGCTGATAATTTCACTCGAAGGATTGCAAATGCCACATCACCGGTACAATCCTTTCCTGAAGCCCGTTCACTATGCCAGAAGTACAATCAACATTCACATAATGGCTACTCTAGTGGAGGTGAAGCCCCATTTGCACACTCCGATCCTCGATTTCTTCGGCAGTATCAAAGCATATCTGGACGTATAGCAGCCGATGATGCCTGCAGCAGTGGCTCACTTTCTTCATCTCACTCTGCTAGTGGTGGTGATCATGTAGAGCATAATAGAACGAGTGATTACTACACAAGCAACTCAGTACGTGCCCGACGTCGGATAGAAATTGAGGGAGATTCCAGAGACAAACGGCGGTTAGAAGACGAGATTTCCGGTGAGCATCGCCGACGCAAAAGTGCTTCGCGTCATACGCATGACCAGTCTCCTCAGTGCCATAGGCATCGTGGGCCATCTTCGGAGAATCGCGCCCTGGATACGTCGACTAGAGAGAAGCGCCACCGTCGCCACCGGAATGGCAACGATCTTGCAAGAAGCTTGTCACGAAGCCCAGATAGTCCTAGTTCAGCAAGGGAAAATGGAAAGTCGTCTCGGATACTCGCATCCAGAGTCACCTCGTCCGTCGGAGCTAATAACTATACATCTCCTGGTCCTGTTGTCGTCACCGAACGAAGGGTTATTTCTGAAAAGAAATCATCTAAACGTCACCGTCATCACCGTGCATATGGTGAGCGGCATGTATCACGGGATAACTCTGTTAGGCAATCTGTTGCTGATTCTCCTAGGAGAATTCAGCATGAAAAGCATCATTCTCGATCTCATTCCCAAGGAATTCCTAACTCTGCTGCGAGTCTTGTAGCCCCACCTAGTCCAAAAAAGATGACTAAGTCAAATCAAGTGGCTGGGGAGTCCCGGCGTCGCAGACATAAGGATTCACAGTCAAATCACAATGAAGATTTCCAGACTAATGTCGCGTCGGTAACGCCGTCTCTTTTAAATGGTGACCTAAATACCACGGTTGGATGTAGTGAATGTCTTGATGAGCTTTCTAATGCATCCATCCCCAGCCCAGATTCCTCGGACGAGGCTGTTGACAATAATGTTAAAAGCAATATAAATGCCGACCGATCGCTTCAAACTATCCTTCCTTCTCCCGACAAATCCAGAAGCTTATCCACGAAAGCCATTAAACAACGTGAGGCTCTTTCTAAATTGGAACAAGAGCGTGACCAATTGATTAAAGAGATGTGCTTGTTAAATTCTGAGACAAACTTTCCATCAACCGACTTACTTACCTGTGCTGGGAATGTTCTCACTGGAGTATTAAAAAATGCAGTTGATAGAAACAATGTGATTTGTTTCAATAAGCGTCCTAATGAAAAGGATTATCTCCAAGATGGTGCGCTAATTTGCAAAAAAAGGTTAGTTTTCTACCGCATTTATAAAATTTGAAGCCTTTTCAGCGTCCAATGCATTATTTGATTTATTGCTATTAATTTTTAGACGGCAAGATCAGCCTGCTAGAGATCCTTCAAATTCCGCATGCAGTCCCTCTCCTTTGCCGAGTGAAGAGGGGGATACTTCCAGTCGTCACATACTCGGTTCGGCTTCAGGGTCCAGCCAACCTCATTTACTTTCCCATGCACAAATGTCGACAATGTGTGCTCCACGTGGGATTTCTGTGGCTGGTGGAAGTGCGGGACATAGCAGCAGTAGTGAACCTGGAGATCCTTTATTTTCCCCTACCAGTAGCACATTAGCAACTCAGTTTCCAACACCGCCCCCACCGCCTCCACCGCCTCCTCCGCCCCCTCCTCCACCGCCGCCACCTCCTCCATCTTCCACTCCCTCTTCGCCAACGAATGCCTACTTGGGTTGTGCGGATTCCAGCCTTACCTGTGGTATTGGAGTAACTAATCATCCGATTTGCCACCACTCACGACATCTACAGGTGAACTTCCCTGTGGCTCCAGGATCTCCTCGATCATCACATTCTCCCCTCAATTCTGCTATATCATCTGTATGTTCCACTCCGCTTGGTCTTTCTTCTTCTCTTAAGCATCGCAGTTCGGCCTCTGGAGGATCTTCTTACACATCCTCGTCTAGTAGTGCCAATAAATCTTGCACTGCATACACTTCCCTTCGTCATATACCTGTAGATTCTGTCCAAAACTTAGCTGGATTATCCTCCAACAGAGATCCCCGTCTCGCATTGCATCATACTTTCTCATCGCCACCTACAGGCCCTGGACTTAATCTCAGCCGGCCGCTTTGGGTTGACACTCGAGCAAGTTCTGCATCCATTGGTTTTGTCGGCTCTGCAAAAGAAATCAACTCTGAGGGAATGTGTCAGAATCTAAGCGACTCGGATCATGAAAATAATTCTGGGATACAGGATCTGTCTTCCTGCTCTGTTGACGAGCGGATTCGCCTATTGGATGCCAAATTGTCGCGATCGGAGCGGTCTCGTCCAACCATCGATTATAGCAAATTTCGCATCCGCCGGAAGAGTGACTTATCGTCCATGCCAATTCCTTCCTCCAGCATAGGAAATGTACCTGATACTATGGCATTTGGAAATTCCATTCACGATCATTTTCCTCTCTCACCCACAAGTCATCAACCCGTTTCTCCTATTGTCTCTCATGGCCCTCTTTCTAGTGGGATTTCGTCCTTATCAGGCGATCTTGTTCGTCCTGTTCTTGCACTTTCTGTATCTGGTGTCGAACCTTTGTCTCCAAATACGATAATTAGCCCAGCCACCATCGGTGTTTCATGTTTGCCTCGACCAGCAGATACCTCAGAGTTTGTCAAAAGCATGCTTTCTTCAAAGCCCTCGCCTCCTGCCTCTAATATTCAGCCGCATGTGCAGCAATCCATTTCAGCCTCCTCTTTAGCTGAGTACCGCGCTTCGCTTTCTTGCTCCAGAATCGGCATTTCCAGTGGTGTAATTGACAGACGATCTCTATTGAATGCGCCTCCAATGTCGATTTCTGAAGCTCCAGAACCGCGAGTCTCTAATAGTTCTCGACCACGAGTACCATCGCTTGTGAATGAATCCGATGCTTCTATCTGTGTTTCATCTTTCCCTACTTCATCCAGTCCGAAGCCCGATGATATTCCTGATTTGGGACTTATTTCTTCATTAACATCAACACCCGATCCTAGTAGATCCATGAACACAGCTACCGTTTCCCGATCAAAGTTTGACTTTTCGAAATTGGAAGGCTTGACATCTGCGCCCCCACAATTATCCACATTTGCAAACAAATCAAAGAATGACATCGTGGCAGGCTCATCAGTAAAGTCAATTTTAAAAAAAGAACTTCCAATGATAAACTCCACTCTTTCACCTCAGAAATCTGTTTCTGATGATTCTCTGCCATCTGCTAAGCAAGACCAACTTTCTCCTTCAACCAGTTCAGCAAATTCTTTCAACAAGGACTTGAAGTCATCACCACAGCCATCATCAACTACAGCAGCTGCAGGGGCATCATCACAACCGCCACTGTCCTCACATTTTGTTGAACAAACTAAGCGTGCATTGGCCAATCCGCCTAAGTCTCCTCGGTCCATTCCCGGTGTACGAAGCGCTTTGCCATCCGGAGGTCAAAGATCGGCTCAGTCAGAAACTAAGAAATTTCCACAAACTCTCGCAGTTACCTCTATGTTAGAACCCAGCCTAAAACGAAAGGCTTCTGGAATTGGGGAGTCCCATCTCTCGAAAGGGACTAGCCTCGCTAAAGTTGCGAAGCTAGATATACCACGTGCTACATTGGACGATTCCGTTTTTAAGTCTAGTATAACTATGTCTTCTGTAAAAAAGGAAAAGAAGAAAATCAAAGCAGAAACTGACATATCGTCCATTTCTTTTTCTGCCACTCCTTTG